TTTCTTGTTATATCACAAGAAACGATAATAACTGCCTTGATGCCTGATATTATAGTGAGCTATTCCGGCTATTATAGACAGATTGCTATGGCTGTTTGCTATTGGTTGTAAAGTTTATCATGATTAATTAATATACCATTTTCTAAATTATATTTTGCTTATTGTTATTTGATATCGGTCCTTGAAAAAACGTTTTAAAAATTTATTATTCAGTTAATTATTTTAATGAGTTATTAAATGTAAAAATGATTGTTGGGGGTGTGGGGGCAAAGCCCCCACGGGTCAGTTTATTACCAAATATTTGAGCCCCCCTCAATATTTCACAGGATCTCCGCCTATGCCATTAACAGTCTTGAATTTGATTTAAAACTTGATTCTCTTTCAACTTGCCGTAAAATAGCAGATGCCTATATTTCTTATCCAAACTGGTAAACAAACTTGTGTCCTGTCTCCCATTGTTAGAACGTATCCTTTTCCATGTACCACAATATTGCTCTCGATCCTATCCAACATTCCATCTAGAAACCCACCACATAAACTATTGTAAAAATGGACCTCTAGATCTTTACAGACAGTAGCGCATTTTTTTGATTTTTTCTTTAATAATCTATATTCTATCAGACCTTAAACGCATTTATTCTAATTTTTAATTGTTACCTTTATCCTTTATTTAGATTTATATTAGTCTTAATATTATATTGTACACTTTACTATTAAGTTTATCAAGCGTTAATTCAATAAATAAATAATCATTATCTATAMAATAATTATTACCTGCAAAAAATGAATTATCAGATTCTTCTTTTTCCAAAACTGGTTTACCCGTAAAATTATTAGAAATCACATCTTCACCTAAATAATTTAGCAATTATTTTTCATATAAAAATGATAAATGTTGATATTACCATAGAACTGTTGTAAGGTGTTATTATGGTTTTCAGTAAGTGTCACAGGTTCTTCAATTTGTTCTGTAATTGTTAAGATCAAACCATACAAAATAAATAACTGAATATATATTTTTTAGGTTTTTTGGTTACAGGATGAACTACTAACACGGAACCTTGTTTTAAATTTTCAATCAATAGCTACAAAAGTTGAATGTTTTATAAACTTTAACTTCTTATTTAGAAGTTCTAAATAATTTGTAAGTTTTCAATTTAAGTTTGAATTTTAAATGCTTATAAAAAAAATTGTGAMAATGTATTTTTAATATTTTTCAACAGCTATTGTAAGATATTTCTGGAATCTTGTATTAAATTTTCAAGCTTTTTGACCCAAAAAATACTATTTTATTGATATTTACAGTAAATAAACTAAAAAATTAAAACTTGAAATGTCAGTAAACAGCTCACAATAATTAAAAATATTTGACTTATCAAGTATAGAAAATTTAAAAAAAAGCAGATAAGTAGGTATCACTCGGCTGTACATTAGGGGGTGGGGTGGACCTCTGACTAGGGTAGATTAAATTTGAATGCAATGATAGGKATCATTGTATACGAAAAACGATTCTGAACGGAGACGGTTTATCTGTCTAGGATATATTATAGATTACCTATTAAAAATTTTCAAATCTTAGATTTAAAAAGAAATTTTTTTATGAATTTCCAGTTTAAAATAATTTGCGAATTTTCGTGATTTTTACGTATGTTGT